GCCCCTCTCTGCCAATCCCTCCACTGGCTTCCATCCCCCGCCCCTCTCTGCCAATCCCTCCACTGGTTTTCATCCTCTGCCCCTCTCTGACAATCCCTCCACTGGTTTCCATTCCCTACCCCTTTCTGCCAATCCCTCCACTGGTTTTCATCCTCTGCCCCTCTCTGCCAATCTCTCCACTGGCTTCCATCCCCCGCCCCTCTCTGGCAATCCCTCCACTGGTTTTCATCCTCTGCCCTTCTCTGCCAATCCCTCCACTCAATGAATAATATTTTAAATAGTAACATACAAAGCCATCCAGAACTCTGCCCCAAGCTACATCACCAACTGTGTCTCAAAATATCACCCTAACCATCCTCTTTGCGCCTCCCAAGGCCTCCTGCTCTCTAGACTCGCTCATCACCTCCACACATGCTCACCTCCCGGGCTTCTCCTGATCCTCTCCCATCCTCTGGAACTCCCTACCCCAATCTGTCTGGCTATCTCCTACTCTGTCCACCTTTAGGAAATCTTTGGAACCTCATCTCTTCAGTGAAGCCTACCCTCCACCTAAAAACTGAACTGTCACTTTCTCAACTCATCCCCTCAGCTTTTACCATCCGTATCACTTTCCCTTCCCCTTCTAGATTATACGCTCTCATGAGCAGGACCCTCCTAACTATCTTGCCTTTAAATTTTTTGTAAAGTACCATGCAAACTGCTGCTATATAAATCCTGATTAATAATAATAGTCATTATATAACTAAGTTGTGCTGCAAATAAAATGAAAACTGTATCCCACTGTTCTGGGTGAAGAGCGACTGCGGGAAGGGGCCCCCATCATGTTACCACCATCGACATTTATATGGTTTATTTTTTTGAGAATTCCTTTGATTCTGTTATGTTTTTTGTGCACCGAGTGGTCGGATTATTATATACACTGAGTAGCCGGATTATTATATACACAACAAGACAACATAAGGGCAACAGTGCCGGGTCAGATTCCTCGCATCACCTTTCATCATCTCGTGGGGTCACGAGGCGGCCCAACGAAGTACTGATGGGGGCGGGATCACAATAATCTGGCCACTCAGTGGATATGTATCTGCGGAATTTACCTGATCCGGCGGGCGTTAAGCTAAACGCACTGAGCATCTCTCTCTCCCTCTCATAGTCGCTGCGACATAGCAGTTGTCCTTCTTTCAAGACGAACTCGTCTCCTCGCTCCAGTTTCTTCTCACACTCACAGCAGTAGAAGCAAGCCACGTGGTAAACATTGTCGAGGACGCGCATGATAAGTTCGGATGGCATTACCACCTTCAAGCAGCTGTTACATTTAGTGGTGAACAACCTGAAAAAAAGAGGAGAAGCGTTGGAGTATTAGATGGGCTGGTAAACCTCAAGGAAACTTTACAAGAGCTCACAATCAAAAACTGAGACATCATCACCATAATAATACCATACGGCCAAAATCACTAAACTAACCTTCCACAACCTGGAGGGACCCTGGAAACAACGTTAAAGTGACACTAAACTCCAGAGTAAAACCTTAACCAGTTGACATCCGCGGTGTTAAACCCCCTTCCCATCCAGGCCATTTTTCAGTATTCAGCGTGGCGGTACTTTAACTGACATTTATTCCGTCATGCAGCGCTGTACTGAAATAATTATTAACAATCTTATTTTATCTTATTTGGGTATCTTTATTTTGGGTATCTTATTTGGGTATCACTCGGCTGTAGATCCTCCAATCATCTCTGAATTGTCGCTCACGGGATGGAGTACAATCTCAGGTTTACTTTACTGATTTGTATTGAGATTGTAGTCCATCCCGGGAGCAAGCTTGGAGCGGCGACTACTTTACAACACACACAGGGACCACGGGGAACAAAAGTAGCCCCCCCTCCAGAAGGAAGGACAGTGTCAGCACCAATTCAGAGATGATTTGAGGGTCTACAGGTGAGCGATACATAGGAGAATTAAAGGAGAACTATGAGGAGAACTAGTTTGAGCCGCCGTGTGACAATCAAACTGTCACAGGTCGGCTCAATAGATCGGAAAGTGAGCAAACACATATCGTCGCTCGCTCACTTCTCGATCTATCCGTGCAGAGAGCCGTGACTGTCACTCACGGCTCCTTGCAGGGATTCCCCCCTCCTCGCTCCGATCCTCCAGCACTGACTGGAGGATCGGACGGGGAGGGTACAGCTGGCTCTGCCTCTAGATAGGCAGAGGCAGCTGTCAATCACGCAGCTGGGTGGATCCAGACAGTAATGTCGGGATCCGTCACGGCTGCGGCGGTCTCAGTGTACTGTAGCTGTAGCTCGCGGTATACTGAGCTTTGGGTGACGGGAGGACGCTAGTTTGTGTCCTCCCGTGACCCTTAGAACTATGGGGAAAAACACTGACCCCATAGTTCTCCTTTAAGGCTAATTAGGGTTAAATAAGGGGTAGCATAGCAATATTTTAATTCAATTTTTTAATTCACTTGTAAGGTTCCTTTAAATAAGGTCACCCCTTTGATCTACATATGAATGAAATAGTAAATACAATGGAAGAATACATTGTTACATTGTATTTACTCAATGACTCTTGCAGACTATCCACCAGTGACACTCTACAGCGGAGCCTCTGCATTTCCGACAGCTGCTACTGCGGTGTAATACAAAATGGATTAATCACCACAGGGGTGACACAGACAGTAGTAAAAAAACTTACTAGTGGTTCACTGTTCTCTTACTCGATCAAAAACAAAAACAAAATATTTGTTTAAGATACACTTTAGGCTATTGAGCTATGTAAACAATGACTAAGAAAAAGGAGACAAGCACTCCGCATACAAAATTTTAGTATGCAATATTTTAGGTTTCTCTGATGTAGAGAAAAATATTTTTAATATTTGATATTTAAATATTTAAAATAACTTATACATTAACCTTCAGCATAAAAAAATAAAATAAAATAGCATGATAAAAAGTGTTATTGTTTAAAAGCAATACATTTTCCTATGAGGTTCTGAGTTCTTCTCAATGAGGGTCTACCAGGCAGGTTATCTGGCTGAAAATGATAGACTCTCAGCAGTCTCTGATGACACAATATAACATGACGCTCTCAGTAGTTGGAGACTATGTGATCTTTAATTTAGATTACGATGCTCGGAAGTGGTAATTTATTTTATTCACGACACTAAAGTATTGTTTTATCTATAATAATAATAAATAATAATATTGAATTGCGTGCTGTTGATGATTCACACGGAATGAGAATTTTAATGGTAAGCCCACTTTAATGTGTTTCTGAAAGTTTGCAGGGAAGAGATCCTGAGCCTCATGATTTACGCAGGAATAACTATATTGTAGCTTTAGTTTATGACTCCAGACTGTATTTTGGATTTTTACAAAATGCATTATAAGTGGGGAAAAAAATGTCTGTCAACATTGCGTCTGCCTGGCTGATAAACGGTTAACAGATGCTAAGTCTTCATCTGGGATGCCTGCGATGCATAGCCGCCTTCCCAAGCTGTAATTAGACAACACAGGCAGCTCCCAGCTAATAAACACCATGTCAGCCTACATTACGCCATAAGGCCTCTGTACCGCCTATGGTGTCACGAGCGCCCGAACAGCCTCTCTTTTTAATATTGCTGGAATCCAGTTAAGGCGATGTAATAACGTCTGGATTACCGGAGTCTGCACATAATAAATCTCCGCGGTGTAACCCTGTATCAACAGGAGAGCACAATGACATTATTGCCGGATTAAACACTAACGGGAATCTGACAGCAATATATTTACTATGTGCCGATTTTCCTTATACAGTATATGGTGCTATCCAGGATGGACAAAAATAGAGACGATTGGGTGAGAGGAGAAAGAAAGAAAGAAAAAAAGAAAGAAAGGAAGAAAGGGAAAGGAGGAAGGGAAAGGAGGAGGGGAGGGGAGAGGAAAAAGAAAAAAAGGAATCAAAAGAAAGAAGAACAGACTAGAGAGGAAGGAAAAGGACGAAGGAAGAATGGCTGAAAGGAGGAAAGCACAGGGAAAGGAAAAGTAAGGAAAGGATTAGAGAGTAAAAGATGCAGGAAGGAAAGAAAGGGAAAGGATGAAGGAAAGAAAGGATGAAGGAAAGAAAGGATGAAGGAAAGAAAGGATGAAGGAAAGAAAGGATGAAGGAAAGAAAGAATAAAAAGGCAAGGATGAAGGAAGATAGAAAGGAAAAACAAGGAGGAAAGGAAAGGATGAAGAAAGGAAAGGAGGGTAAAAGTTAAGAAAGGTATGGAGAGAAAATGATGGAGGAAGAAACGGAAAGAGAAGGAAAAGGAAAGAAAGGAAAGAAAGAAAGAAAGAGAGAAAGAAACAAAAGAAAGAAAGAGTAAGGAAAGGATTAGAGGTGAAAGCATGCAGGAAGGAAAGAAACCGATGAAAAAATAAAATAAAAATAAAAAAGGAAAGGATAAAGGAAGAAAGCAAATTAAATAAAAAGAAAGGGAAGGATGGAGGAAGGAAAGGAAAGGATGAAGATATTAAAGAGGGGAAAGGAAAATAATGGAGAGGGAAGAATGAAGGAAGGAAAGAAAAAGGAAAAGATGAAGGAAAGAAAGGAAATGATTCAAGAAGAGAGGAAAATAAAGGCAAGGATGAAGGAAGGAAGTAAAGGAAAGCATGAAGGAAACAAAAGGTGAAGAAAGGAAAGGAGGGAGAGGAAAAGAAAGGAATGGAGAGGTAAAGATGGAGAAAGGAAAGGAAAAAAAAGAGGACGAGAGGAAAGAAAGAATGAAAGAAGAAAATGAAAGGAGTGGATGTAAGAAGGAAAGGAAAGGAGAGGACGGGAAAGGATTATGGAAGGAAAGAAAAGAATGAACAAAGTAAAGAAAAGGATGAAGGAAATGAGAAAGAAGAAATATATCAAACAGGAAAACGAAAGAGATAGTTGCGATGGCAGATGTGACATACGGGTATTAGACATCTATTTTTTACTTTCCATTTTCCCCTCCTCTCCTCTCTTCCCTTTCTTAATTCCCCTCCTCTCTCCTCTCTCCCTTCTCCTCTGAGCTGAGAAAGGACTCCAGTGAAGCCATGGAGACCCCGGAATTTTCCTCAGGGAACGAGCAGTGTCTTTGAAGTGGGCCGTTCTATTCGGGGAGCCGGGGCCTAACTTCCTCTTTCGGTGTTTGAGTAAGTGACGTCCCTGCAATTTTTATGAGATCTGTGACTCTGAGGCATCAGGTAATCTGATCAGACAGTTGATTACATTTCACAGCCTTGTCTCCTTTATTAAAATTTCCCAGAATCCTCCGCGGCTGTCTTATTGCTGCTCAATGCTAATAAAAGTCTCTCCCCCCCTGGGACACACAATAAATGAAAAAGCTCTACTACCAAAAACATACCACCCTCGGCTCGGCGTGCATTCAATGCTTTCCTGAGCCGCGCTCTAATGAAAAACCACTCGTAATGGTGATAATAATAACAAAAGGTTTTAAAGCGGCTTCTTTTCCTTTATTTGGATAGATTATACCAAAGACGGCTTGTGTTCACCAAATGTATATATTTTACGTGGTAAATAGTAAAATGCGCAAGCGATGTTAAAATGGACGTTCATTCCTATATCAAAACTGATATTAAACA